CATTGACAAAATTCTATATACCACCAAAGTGAATACGTTTTGACAAAAAACAAGAACAAAAAACAAGAACAAAAAAACAAAAAACAAACAAACCCCAAAACAAAACCAAAAACGAAAATAAACAAATAAAAAACCTCAGTCTCTGTTTTAAATATATTTTCAAAAAACAGGAAATTATCTAATTTAACCCAAATTTTCAGCACTTATTCATTAACAAATAAATTGCCTACTTAATATGTTATTTTAACAGAAACGAACAGAATGAACAAAACCATATCGAAATGCTGAAAAGATGAAATAAAATTTTTTTTAAATAAAATAGTTTTAAAATTAAAGCAACGATAACTCACCCTAATGCAGACAGATATGCAAATTAATGAGCTTTTTTTTGTTGCTCTAAGTACACTGTTAATTTTAGCTTGTGTCAAAATTAGCCTAACCCTAGAAATATTCGTTGAAATAGAAAAGATTCCAACGTCTGATAGATGGCATTGTCAAAAACGAGGTTATTTTCTTTGAGCCACAGGATGTCTTAGTGATATGTATTGAGTGCGAAATTATAATAACCCCTTCGTCCACTAACTTCAAATTCGGAGGACTGAGGAAGAAGTAAAGAAATTCGCGAGCCTATGTGGAATTGTTTTGGGGCCAATGAAAATCTTTCCTTTCACAGAAATTATACGGTCTGCTAAGAAGAAGAGGGAAACAAATTAACGAGACTACGCGAAATTCTTTTTGATATAAAATGAGGAGAAAAATTAAATTAATCAGAGTGTCTGAAGTCATCTGGAAGAATAAATAGATGGCCAGGAATTGAATTCGAGGAATCGACTAACAGCTACTGCACGAATCCAGGTTGTCCCGACCCAGGAAGAAAAACAAGAAATTTGACGACCACCAGACGAAAATTTCAGAGGAACATCAAAGTCGCTCCCAAATCAAAGAAAATTCTTCGGCTAGGGCGATTGTTCTGTTCTTCGCTGTTAACACGGATTTTACTTCGGAAATTGTACCTATTCTTTGAAAACTATTCAGATAAGTATTTTCTCTTTTCGTCATTTATTTTTATGCTGTTTACCTTTTCTGGGGACCTTATGCAGCATTGTAATTTTTATTGTAAAAGAGGTATATTTCTTTTGCATTGATTACTTTTACATACATGTTATTAGCCATCATTTGGCACACAAAGCACTTAATTTGTGCAATTCTTTCATTTTTGTGTGTTAATAAATTTGTCGTCTGTTTTTTGAAACTCGGCTCGCGTCATCTGTCTTTGTTGTGTGCCATTAAAAATCAAATGTGACATCAAACATTTGTTTGAAATATTTTTCGTAGTTTTTTTTTTGCCAAATAAAAAATTCTTTACGTAGACCTTTAGGTAGAGTCATATTCGTTTCTCACAATGGTGACACATCCATTACGAGAAGTTGAAGAACATGAAAGCTTCAAAAACAAAAATAACTGATCTTAGCTGATTTGGGGGCACTGAAAATAAAAATATCCAAAATTGTTGATTGGCTCTAGATTTCAAGATACGGTACTAAAGTTTTATGTATATTTCATCAAAATTGTTATCCTTGCCAGATTAACTATCATTCTCCTAATAACTTTATTAAATATTATTATTCTCGTAATAAACTAATTAGTATTTTCCTTTTCACTCACTTTTTCACACATTCAACTTACCTGTAACAAAATGTTCCGTGAATGTCTAAACAAAGCCGATGAATTATACTATGTGTGTGGTGAAGTGGCTTTTGCATCTCAAACGCGAAATATATCATCTGTCATGAGAAAAGCTTACCAACTACATTTTGGATGCAAAATTGTAGACCAGACAAGAGGTGTGCACCACACATATGCTGGAATACCTGTGCAACAAATTCCAGTCAATGGCTATCCAGGAAGAAAAAATATATGCATTTTGCAGTGCCTATGATTTGGAGAGAGACAAACCGATCATGGTGCTAATTGTTACTTCTGCATGATGCTTCCAATTTCTAAGTGTCTGTCAAAGAAAAAGAAATGGGTAGTGCAATAACCAAACATTCCATCAGCTTTGCGTCCTGTATCCCATCCATAATGAAGTCATACCAGTCCAAGAAGCACTGGAAACGTATGAAATTGAGTCAGATAATGGGGAAGACAATGAAACCTCAGAGCTCAAACCATCAACCGCATATGGCCAAGATTATTGTCCAACATTCGTCTCTAAAGTACACCTCATAACTCAAATTGACCTAAAGAACTTAGATATTTGGAACTTCCTAAGAGTAAAGCAAAACTGTTAGGTTCCAGGTTACAGCAGTGGAATCTATTAGATAGTGATCTACAAATTTCCCATTTCTGTGATTGTTACAAGGATCTAGTCTTCCTTATGGAAAGTGATTTGGTGTATTGCAATGATATCAGTGATCTCATGCAATTACTTCATATCAGTTACAATCCAGAGGAATGGAAGCTGTTCCTTGATTTCTCGAAAAGTCTGAACGCTGTCTTGTTACACAATGGTAATGTTTTACCTTCAATCCAAGTTGGTCATGTAGTCCACATGAAAGAAACTTATGACAATATAAAACAACAACTGATATGCATCAACTATGATCAACACCACTGCCAACTTTGCGGAGATTTGAAGGTTGTTGCTCTCTTGCTAGAACTGCAAAGTGGATATAGCAAGTACTGTTGCTTTCTTTGTTAATGGGACAACAAAAAGTGAGAAATTCAGTGATAAATTCTCATGATATCAAGAGAAACTAACTAATACGACAATTACTGGAATCTGGGAGGAAAATATTCAGCATCCACCACTAGATGAGTCAAAGAAAATGTTGTTGGCACCTCTTCACATCAAAATTGGTCTTAGGAAAAATTTCATGATGGCTTTGGACAAAACAAAGGCAGCATTCAAGTATATGCAGAATATATTTCACAGGATAAGTGAAGTAAAGATAAAGGAAGACATCTTTGATGTTTCCCAGATTCGTAAACTTCTTTCTTGATAGAGTAATAGGAGTAAAGAAAAAACTACACGGAAACCTTTCAAGCCAGTGGCAACCAACTTTCTGGGAGCAGAAAATTACAGAAAACTGGTGAAAGACCCCACCCCCGAAAACATATAAACATCTTGGCTGTAACATGTCGTTGAACATCCACTTAGACTCGCGTTTGATTTTTCTCCCCCAAAACTGTGGTGTTGTGAGTGACGACCACGGTGAATCAGAATTCTAATTATGATTACAGAGAAAGGCTACCTACATTTTTCAACCGATTTCAACAAAACTTCACTTTTTTTGGCAGGTAGTGTTTCTTATTGTCTTGCACATTTTTTCTTTATTTTTACATTCAGAATGCTTTAAAAATTCCATTTACAAGACAATTGTTTATAATAAAATTCTATTCACCAATCGATAGGCTCATAACGATTGTAAACAATGTTTTTGTTTGAATTTGGGTTTGACCAATTCGTAAAAAAAAAAAAAAAAAAAAAAAAAACTAATTAAGACATGCGTGTCCGTCAACCTTAAATAATAATCTTTGTCAATTTTATTTTTCAGTCTTTATGATGGTCGATACTTGATCTATCTCTTGCTGTTACATCCCCGGGCAACGCCGGGCTCTACTGCTAGTCTGTCTATACAACTGGTTTTGCTTACAAAGTTTTCCTTCTCTTTGATTGGTCGCCAACTAACGCTAGAGGAGGGAAAGGGAGTAAGAAGAATAGATAGGTTCATGCGTTTCTCAAGGCCAACGGTACAAAGTGAATGCAACTGACTCAACCAGAATACGAACTCGGCTCACCAATTCCATTTTATGTGCCATAACCGTTACGCGTACACGCAGCAAAGCGGAAAGTACTTTGTATTTTAGCGAAACACTTTTTTACACGTGGATGTTAGATGCCTAAAAGAATGCCCAGCATTGCGACATCTTTCTATCGATAATATTCACGGCAGTGCCATGTTGATCATCTGTCGTAATAGTAATCAATTAACGGAAACCCCTGTTCGTACTATTTGAGGTGTTTGAACAACACACACAAACATTTTTCCTTTAATTATAACAAGTATCAAGAGAAATTCTCATCAGTCAAGTAGCTTTCTGAATCCCTCTGTCAAGTAACTACAAAGAGTTTTAGTCATAATAATAAGAACATAATAATAAGTATATATATATATATATATATAATATGAAATGTCATCCACAGACAGACTGTTTCGCTGTTTACAGCTCATCAGTGCGGCTAGACATCCGTTTGCCTCTAGCTAGGATCGAAACCCGACTGAATTGGTGTCAGTCGGAGCTTCTAACCACTAAGCCGTCGGCGCACGGTAGGAATGGAGGTAGATTTTTAGCGTATTTACTTTTTTGTAAACATGCCCAGTGACTGACAGTGACTCAATTCGCTTACGCGAAGAGTCGCGCTATATTAGCTATAATAGTCACTGTTTACAAATAAATAAATAAATATAAGCATAAATATAAGTACATAATAATAAGTACAAAGAGTTTTAGTCATAATATTTGTGTGAATTACCAGCACGTGGCAATAAAGTAAAGACTGTAATAATTGTGGTAGAAACATGAAAAAATTACAGCAACCTTCTTGGACATAGTTTGAAATGTATGAAAAACAATCGAACAGTGGAGTTGGGTCAGATTGATCATAAATTGTTTTGATTTTTAAATCGATTCATTTTTTTACCTTATCAACCTTTTGCAGGTTATTAAAAGCCAGAAAATATTTTTAGATTCTAAGATATTTTTCTACTTTATTTACTTTTTATTGAGAAATTAATTTTTTTTATTTTGAGATTATAATGATTTAGTGATACAAGTTTTACCAATTGACTCGTAGCTGGGTGGAGAAGAGGTGGATTCATGCCTTTCCCAAGGGTATTTGCCCGCAAGTGAATATAACGAAACCAAATGGAAATGGAACTCGACTCTTCGTTTCACAATTCCGAGCCATTATCCATTACACCACCCGCGTATCCAAGCTTGCAGCACCTGGTATTTCCAAGCGGTCACCCATCTAGGTACCGACCAGGCTCGGTATTGCTTAACTTCGGTGACCTTACGGGAACTTGTGTTTCAACGTGGTATGGCTGTAAGCATAAACTGTTTTAAAAGGTCATACTGTAAAGAAAATGAAATCTATTGCGTATGTTAATTTTTGAAAGTTAAGAATGAATTTTTAATATTGACACTTTAATTCGATTTAAAAAAAAAAGCCTTTGTTTTTTTCCTTTTTACTTATCCCATAAAAACCAGAAAGAACATTCAAGACATTATATAAGAAGGAAATTAAGACATAAATGGTATATTTATAATATTTTAAACGGACTGTTTGAAAACCCTGCAGTACTAATGCCTCTTTCTTCTTTCACCTTTTCTTTTTGATTATCATCTTTGACTACGTATCGAGAACTTCCCTCGACAAACATTAACATTTAGGTTTTACTTTATTACCAAAACTCTCAAGTAGATATTTTGCAAAAAGGTTGACTGATCTTGACTATGCAGATGATCTAGCTATTAATGCAGATACCATCACCAATGCCACAGTTTTCCTACATCATCTAGAAAATGCTGCCAATGATGTTAGACTATGTCAATGAGTCCAAAACATAATTCATAGGCTTCAACCAGTAAGGCTCAATACAAACTGTCTCAACTAAATCAATAAAATATGTCAAATCTTTTAAATACCTAAGAAGCAAAATAAATTCTATTGAAAAGGATGTGAAAATTTGCATAGCTAAAGCCTGAATTACCTTGAATAAAATGGATGTAATATAGGATGCCACTACTTGGACATTAACTAAAATCATAGAATCTAAGCTTTATGGAACCTACACTTGGATGCAGAGAGCTATACTTATGTGAGAATTGGTCAGAAGCACACACAAATAATGAAAAAAAGAAGAAGAAGAAACAAACTATATACAAGTTCAATAAGTCTAATAAGTAAATCAATTCCACAATAATCTCTGTTCCTCAATTTCAAGTATGCAACTCCCCGTCAGAAACGAGCCTACTCTTGAACGAGCGTACCGTGATTTTATGCACCTGACGTAGCCATCACCAGTCACCTTTTTCATTGCTTGGAATGAAAAAAAAAAAAATATTAAGAGGAGTTAAATTGATCATAACTTGTTTTAAAAGATCATAGTGAAAATAAAATGAAACCTATTTTTGTGTATTTGAATTTTTGAAATTTACAAATTAATTTTTAATATTGACTTTTTAATTCATTTTTTTTTTCAAAATAAAACTTTTTTTTCATTTATAAGAATTTAGAAAAATAAGACAAGGATGTGTTGAGGCCAAGGGAAACACTTAAAAGATTGTTCCCTTGCAAATTAAGATGAGAGAGACAGGAAGAAATAAAAAAATAATGAGAGGCTACTGACTCAAAAACCACAGCATGATGAGCAGTACGTAACTTCTGGAACGAAATGTGCTAAGGGAACGTCTTTACAAGACACCGAATCTCTGACGATAGCAAAGTGAGTCTCGCCAAAAGTATACTCCCAACTGCTGGTTTTGCTGTCGCTTTTATTGACATGGGATTGCTAACAAAGATCCGGATCTGGACAAGTTGCAGAGAGGTCCGCCTCTGGATATGCCAAGCTGTTCTGCTGCTAATGCAGAAGCCCAGATGTGACGTCAAAAGACATGTCCGCATGCAAGTCAGGGCCTTTTTTACATCTCTACTGGTACGCATGCGCCAGAAAGAACACACAAGACAATATGTAACAAGAAAATTAAGGCACAAATGATATATCTATAATATTTAAATGGACTGCTTGCAAACCCCGCAGCACTAATGGTATGGCAAATATTAATAACGGGTTAAGGATTCTCAGATTTCTTTGTGATACACTTGTATATGATTATCTAGACAACTTGCTTTATTCTGTGTGCATGGAAAGTCGTCGGCATAGTCCAGGTCGGTTAGGTCGTAGTTCCCGAGATATACAACAGGGAAGCGGTCGCTCACTGCATACTGCACCGAGATGTATTCCCTCAGCAAGACCCTCAACATCCCGCGCCCTCAGGATCATCGAGGGTGTGCACTGGTCTGATCTGGTGTCCAATACGGAGCTCCGCCCTAGGACCGACCAGCCGAGCATCCTCTGTATCATTGTTCAGCGCCGTGTTTGCTGACACCGTCACGTCCTGCGACGACCTGATAATCATCCTACCGTAGTCATCTACCAGTATGACCCGCCATCTGCAAACAGGAGATGACTTCGCGGCAGAACAGGCAGCTGCTGTAAGGACGTTGTCCGACACGGTCTCCAGCAGATTAATTTGGCGCTGGAGGATGTTCCGACGCTCTGCCAAGACCGAGTGAGCTAGGAAGGACTAGGTAGCTCTCGTGGGCTCAACGCCTTCAAGGTATGAGATTTAGCAGCAACAGCAGCGTGCAAAGTAGATCCAAAAATTAAGAGTGTGAATTTTGGAGCTCAGCAAAGATAATTGTTATACTAGTTTGTACTTGCCGTCAAAAAATGAAAGCGTATATGAAATTGGCATTTTTTCCTTATTGTGATTTAAATCTATAAGTTTTTAAATATATTTTCCCTATTATTATTGCAGTACTTTCACAGTGTCTGACTATTGACCCCAAAATCATTTTCAGACAGTCAACTATTGTCATAACATAGTCGCTGCCTGTTATCCACAACTAAATACTAGTTGTGTCACGTACATTTCAAGTTTGTCAGAAGTTTATCTTTGACATTTATTTAAACGCCATTAAAATTTGTGAGTGCACACAACTTCACGCATACAGGCGCATGCGCAGAGTTAGTTATTACAAATAACGGCAAAAACAAACCCAACCTTGATTGCATCGTTTTTTTTTTTTGTTTTTTTTTTTTAAATTAATTCACCTAAACGAATGCGATAATATCACTAACACTCAAGGGGCTACTGAGAGTGAAAGAGAATGTAAAGACTTTAGAAGGAACCGGAAACCCAATCCTAAACAAGAAACGAAGGATAAATCTTTATTCCTGTTCAAAAAGCCTGGAGCTGCACCAATTTAATAGATCAACAACTATCGCTTAAAACCATTGTTACTACTACTACTACTACTACTAATAATAATAATATACTACTACTACTACTAATAATAATAATAAATGACCTAATGTCACATCAAGTATGTCTCTCATGGCTTTTTATCTTAATTGATTGGAGGTATTTACATTTACATGTTTTGTCTTGTTATATTAAGATGGACTACAGTAAATATCCCGTTCAGTACCACCACAGTTTTGTTTGACAGTTGCCTGACTTTAATGGGTGATGCACTATACATCTCTCTTCATGAGGGGTGGGGTAGTGGGGCAGCATTATGCCCAGGTGTCGAGAGGATTTTTTTTTTTAAGTTTAAAGGATTAGGCAGCCAAGACAACCTGTGAATCACATCTATATATCTGGGAACACCATTAATCGGAGACCGTCTGAACAGACAGAGTTACCCGACTTGAAGTTATTTTTAACTGAACAGTGTTAGGTGGCTGCTTTTATCAAATGCCTGTCTCCATATTGCACACATTTGGCTGCGATGCATGATCTTGGTATATTTTTAACAGACTGGCTATCATGGTGGATATACTGGGCTTTGTTGGCGCGTTGTTCTCTCATCAATGTTGATTGTACTAAGAAAGCTTCGAATAAGATATACGAAGAATGTAAAGTTCTGAAAGTTATTTTGGTGAGCAATTAACAAGTTTTTGCCAAGCTAAGCTGAGATAAACTATGGCGTTCTGCCTATTATCATAAAGTCAAGTTCTATTTAAAAATATTATCTTGCAATAAAATCAGCGATACTAGATTATATTTGGCGGTAAAGATGCTGACTACATCTAGTGGAATGAGCCTAAAATAGTCACACAGGAAGATCAGCAAAATGAAAGAGATGGTGGATATGATAATCTCAAACAAAATAATTAGAACATCGCTATTAATTCAAAATTTATTATAGTGGGTACTTCTTATTTGAAATAGACGCCCCATTTTTACTTATTAAACAGTCTATTAGCCTGCGCGTTTTAAAAATCTAAGTAAAGAAAATGTGTCTTTCGGCTGGGAAAGAACCTGCGTCTTCGTTTGTAGAGGAAACTATCGTTATGATACGGCATGTTTTGCAGTTCGGCCACAAAGGACTTCATCGTGCGCCAGGCTCATTAGACTCTATTTTCTTTACTTAGATTTCTAGAACGCACATTGTCATCATCATCTTGCGGCCTCAGCCGAGATTGAACTCACTACACCTTTCCAGTATTCCTTATCTGTCATGTAGTTCGTAATCTTGTCAAATAGCTGAATTCTTGATGCTTCGCTAGGGCTATCAAGGGTGTTTTTATCGTGACACCATCACTAAATGGATTGCCAACCAAGGCTCAGAGAGACTCCATTCACCCTCAGGTTTTGAATTCAGAGTTTTCCTTCTCCTAGACCAGTTGCCATCCAAGGCTATAGAACCCAGTCTGTTCTGCTATTTACCCATAGCTGGAGGGAGAAGAAGAGGATTCACACCTTTCCCAAGGTAAATGTAATGGATTCGACTGGAATTCGAACTCGGCTCTCCGATTCCTCAATCCAATCCGCTATCCATTACTCCACCGCACAAGGTAGGGTAATCTATTTAATAAATAAAAATAGGACGTCTATTTCAAATAAGAAGTGTCCACTATAATAACATTTAAAGTAATAAAAATAAATCTATTAATTCTTTAGAAACATTAGTTGTGGAAATTAGTTATATATATATATATTCCAAAGGAGTAGATGGGTTCGTTTATCGTCCGGTTTACGTACCTCTCGGGGTCTTTTGAATAAATTTATCCCTTGTTCCCTATTTATGATTAGGTTTCCAATTCCTTCTAATGTCTTTTCATTCTCTTTCACAAACAGCAACCCTTACGTCTTAGTGGCATTATCACTTTGCTTGGGGTGAATTGATTAAAAAAAATCATTAGCCAGTGTAACATTACTTAAGCAGAAAGAAAAGCAAATAAAACTTTTACGAATAAATTACAATTATAAATTATTTCTGTCTGAATTTAGGGGATGAGGAGTTATCATTATTTAC